ATTTGTATTACATTCATCTGATGTCTGGGTTTTTTTTAATGCGAAGACAATATTTCTATATCTCTTTATGTGCTACACAAACAAACTTTATAGCAGACTGTTCCGTCTGACTCTAATGTCAGGAAGAACAACCAAACTGTAAATTCATCATACATCAATTTGTGTAATTTATATAATAACTTATCCATGCCTGTACAATTGGTATGTTCCTGCATAAACAGGAAGAAATATATTATAAGTTACATTCGAAATAAGTGAAAGACTATGGAAAGTCGTAGGACCAGTCAAAATGGACCAAAGAAAGTACAACAACACGGAGTCGTGTCGCTGAAGCCATATATTACATTTGGAATCCAGGAAAACTGTAGTAAATAACTGCCGATTTTAGCCCTTGAATCTTTTCTCTAAATATCCCTCACATTTGTCCCATCTAAGTATATTGCTCATCAGAGCGCTTTTTCAGATAACGGAGACTTTCTGTATGTGTTCTCTTCGAAGTGCCCATGAGTCGGGAAGCTTAATTATTAAGTACCAGAATCTTAAATTGTTTCGTCATCATTATTACTTTTAGATACAAAAAGTAGAAGGGTATTTCCAAATTAATATGCGATTGGTTTCGCTTCGTATGGAGTGACAATAAATTTCCACAAGAACTACGCGGATTACGAAGCGTCAATTACACACAATGATTACAAAAAAATGCCAGCCACGACTCGTAAACCGTTAATGCCCAGCTCTTGCTGAACTCGGGCTCACGCTGTTCCTTGAAGTTTCTCAGAAACGCTTAGTAATAACAGACGCAAAAACCAAAACACCGATCTGCCGCTTTAGATTTCTTTGTTGTTACACCAACATATAAAAATTATAACTGAACTAAGGTCTGTGAACAAATATTACAATAAGAAATCATAAGGTTACTTCTGACGATGTTTTACTCTTCTTTCTGAACAGCGACCGATGAGACGATGAATGTCGTATTGATGCCTCCGCGAAAATTGGGGAAGTTGGTTTTGAGCGAACAACCAAGAATTGATCGTTCAATCTTCAACTACGTTGACACTCCCCGGCAAAAAAGGGATCCAACCCCTTTTCTCCATCACGACCAATTCACGTTGACTTGGATGCCATTGCGAGAACCTGGGTCACTCGGACAGAGCTGAAATGGAAAACAAACAGAAAAGCCAACACACCACAAGCATACCCACAGCACAATCTCACACATCAATGACGACCTGCGCTTTCCAATTAAAGGCATCCTCTTGACACATCCTCTTGCAACACAATCGCCACTTGCTAGAATGACTCTTGCAGAATGCAACGTGACCATAGCAGCACCTCACGATACTCTACGCACATCCTCTTATCTACTCACTACCAATTACCAATGCAATCGCTTGTCACTCATTCTGCCTCAATTCTAGTAGCAGTGACGCATGCGAGCCTCAGTCGTTTACACTCTTTCTCCCCGGCGTGTCGGACCGCAGCTAACAATTATCTCCGTGTGCATTTCATTCTCAGCAATAGCCTAGCCTCCCCGGCGTATACGACTCATATGCTGTCTCTAACATCAATCAATTCATTCACGGATGTAGAAGACTCGAAACAACTTCAGAAGTAATCACGACGAAAATTTTAACAAAATTATGTAATAAGAACAAGGTACGAAAACAACGAGTAAACACAATGAATCCAAAAAACACCAATTGATATGACACACCACACATATATACAAACAGTACACACAAACTCGCGGATCATGTCTTGATGGAATTCCCTTGAAGAATCGTAGCACTTACACCAGTACGCCTACAACTCTTCTCAGGTTGACGATTGTAAGTTGTGGAATGTCCGGACACAAACAAGATTAACCAACAATTACAATAATTGGAACTCACACAATTATTTAAGACAAACATATGTACAATCAACACATCAAATGTTGTGGATTCTGCCTTGGCGAACTACCCTTGAAGCGTAGGCACAGAGTAATTTACACCAAAGTTAATAGCATTCAAATAGTAACTTGAAACTAGAAATGCCTTTATTCATGCAAGTCAATTTAACAATTACTCTCTCGTTTACACTTGGCTTATCCTCACTAAACTGAGCAATATCTTTCGTCTTTTCAAATGCACCAATACTATCATAGTCATTGCACAAGACACTTGAGTTGATGGGCGTCTGTTTCATTGTGGATGACAACACCAACGACGACTGATTGATACCAGTTGAGGAACTTAGTGGTGGATCAGAAGCTGTTGTTGCTCGGCTTTCAGATAGTTGTCTAACTGCAAGATTACCACCACTGCTGTTTTCACTACTAGTTCGGGTTTAGTACTATCATCTGATGATAGGTGGGCTACACGCTGATCATTTACGCTGACGGTCTCACAAGTATCCATACCTTCTGCAACTGCATTCAGTCCTACTTCACGTTCAAGTTGTACAGAACCTTTGTTCAACTTAGCAGTAGTAGGCATATCCCTCATCTCATCCTGATCAACCAAAGACAAATCTGCACTATCATGATCATTATCATAAATATTCAATTCACCATCATCTATCTGGTCGACTTCATCATTTTCAAACTCTTTATTAACAGCAGTAGATGATTTGGGCTCTTCTTCACAAATACCTAGAGATTTTACACCTTCACTCTGACTAGTAATACCTTGTAAACTTGTGGAGTCAAAACTGCACTCTGAAGCAATAACTCTATTCTGTGACACTCTATTCAACAATGGCTTACCAGTTGCAACTACAAACGTCTTGACCACACCGTTATCGTCACACAATTCGGAGTCAGGCCTGGAGTTTACATTTAGCTTATCACTGAACTTGCTCACTGGTTCACAGTTCACCTTTTTATGCACTTCTTGCAAACGTGTAAAACACAACCGTGTTTGTTTTGCATCTTGTAACTCATCTGTTGAGGATGTACTACGAAACCCGTTACACTCACTAGGTCTATATGCATTACTAGACATCATGGAGCCTTCTCGATATCCACCTCTCTGAGGCTTATTCGTCATCAATGAGTGCGTTTTACCCTCAGACTGCTCTATTCTAGGGGTGAGATGCAATATACTGGCGAACTTGCTCATAGATTGACTGACACTATCTTTTACTAGTTTCGGGATATCATCAAATTCTGGCTCGATACCCTCATCCTCCATACGGGAGCTTATCTTCACCCACTTCCTTTGCAGTCGAGTAGGTAGGCGTCTTGCTATTACCTCTAGGACTGAGCTCGAGTTGAGGTCACTCATGCAATTCATAGAAATCAAGGTATTCTTATAGGTCATCAGATTATCCAAAAACTCAGTGAGTGCCTTGCAGTCATCTTGTAACTGACCACCAGTACCCTTAACAGCCTCGAATAATTTCCCTACAATCATAGAAGCTCTTCCAAACCTTTGACGTAGTATGCTCCCAGCCTCATAGTACCCCCGTTTGGCTTTTTACACTTACAGCACTGTATAGCTCTTGAAGCAACTCCAGTGCGATACCTCATCAAATACATTAACTTCATTTCATCATTTAATAAAATACTACTCAACATGATCTCAAACTCCTTTACAAACTGCAAATAATCGGCTAAGTTTCCGTCGAAACACCGTGGTTCAAATTTAGGGAGTTTGATGTTCCTATTATCCCTAGACGGCGAAACAGTAAAATCAACCATGTCATGCTTAACATCAGACACATCGTTACAATTAACAGACAAGTCACCATGACTTACTTTCCTGTTTGCATCCAAGACGCTCTGTCCCTTCTTTGACCCAGGCATTGTTGAACTTGACCCAATTCCAAAAACGTTCCAGATATTGCTTGTTCAAAGAGGACTTGACCGGCACCAGGAAAGATGAACGGTGACAATCCAAACTGTCACCGACGGTTCAAAACCATCGAAAACTGACAAAACCGTCAGAAACTGTCAATCACGTCTCGTAAACCGTTAATGCCCAGCTCTTGCTGCACTCGGGCTCACGCTGTTCCTTGAAGTTTCTCAGAAACGCTTAGTAATAACAGACGCAAAACCAAAACACCAATTGGCGACTCGAGGATTCTTTATTGTAACACCAACATATAAAAATTATAACTGAACTAAGGTCTGTGAACAAATATTGCAATAATAAATCGCAATATTACTTCTGACGGTTTTCTGCTGGTTTCTTTCTGAACAGCGACCGATGAGACGATGAATGTCGTATTGATGCCTCCGCGAAAATTGGGGAAGTTGGTTTTGAGCGAACAACCAAGAATTGATCGTTCAATCTTCAACTACATTGACACATCACTAGGGAACACAGAGATAGTAATATAATCTTCTTTTAGATTAATAACATTTGACACTTTCAAAATGTAGCAAACGAGACTTTCAGAAGTAATAAATTTATTGCACGCCGACGTCACTTTTTTTCAACATTCACCGAAATTTATGCTCATTAGAAGTCAATTGAGGCAAGTAGTCCGCATAGAAGTTTTAGGCATAATTTGAATTCTCCATTTTCCTTACAACACACGATCAGTAATAGTCGTTGCATAACATTTTTCATAAATGTTCAAAGTGCCATTTTTTTATTGAAACACGCAGATTCACACAGAATTCACCAAACATCAATCACTTTCGGAAAAACTGATCAATAACTGGGCAAAGTTCGGAAAACATTGTCCATCTACAACTTACTTTGAATAACCGAATACTTTGCCCTTATTGATATTCAAAGAAGTTCTCCAAGTTGTTGATCCGTTTTTCCGAAAATGATTGATGTTTGGTGAATCTGCGTGTTTCAATAAAAACATGTCACTTTGAACAAACCAATGCAAAGTCCTTTTCAAGTGTACATTCATCTCGAAGTATTGACACTGTGATCGTAGAAATGACGATTTCATCAAATCGTGGTATAAAATGTCCACCCCTTTACCGAAACTAGATAAGATGGATTGGAAAGAGCACGTTGATCATTTGACTCACTTAATCTCAACCCAGCTGAGTTATGAGACCTGCACAAGGGATCCTAGTCCACTCATTCTTATTACTATGGTTTACTGCAATTTCAGAGTGTTTAATTCCTAAAGTGAAACAATATGTTGCAGAACGTCGTGAATGCGGAATGATCAGACCTTTAGGTTTTAAACATAACTACAATTCGTGCTATATTTTAGAGTATGCACTGAAACGTTTTGCATTACGTCTAGAACAGGTACCACATAAGATTAGCTCTCATCGACCAAATTTCTGCAAAGTGACTACTGTTCAAATTAATATTGCTGAAGACTGTAATGAAGAAAATGGAAAATTATGGCCATCCGATTCAATGAAGGAATCATGTAGGTGGAACCCACTTAAGGTGCTTAAACATAAGGAATTTTATCATCTAGATATTTTGAATGTCTCCGATGGGACCATACATATTCAATCAGAGGAAATATGGGGAGCATTACACGCTTTGGAAACAGTCCTGCAACTAGTGTTCAGAGATCAGAACTACAAGGTACAGTGCGGAAATGTGCTCACTTTACGATAATAGAATTCGATATATGAGTGTGGCATAGAAGATTCACCAAGATTTCCACACAGAGGAATGATGATCGATACTGCCAGACATTATCTAAGCGTTGAATCAGTTAAGAATGTCATTGTAAGTTGCCTTCCACCTACTTTTGTTATGTAACTCACAATGTCAATTCGAAAGGCTGCACTATCAATGGTGAAGATGAATGTATTACACTGGCATATGACAGATGATGAATCCTTCCCATATGTTTCTTCAGTGTATCCTGAATTTTCTTGAAAGGTGACAAATTCCCAGTCAAATACATTATCACTGTTTCATTGTGATTGTACTTTTCAGGGGGCGCACAATCCACATTCGCATGTGTATGAAAAGAATGAAATCGATTTACTGGTAGAATTCACTCGATTACATGGTGTTCGGGTGATTGTAGAATTTGACTCAGGTGGGGTGTATCGAAATTATTGTGATAACATCCGCTTGTGTACTTTGTGATTGTCATTTACTCCTGATTTCATATCATGGGTGGCTAATTGGCAATTTATGCAGTCATATGTGTGTGTTCATCGCGATTACTTGGTAGGAAAGGGTATTCCCCCGCAAATATTCATAGAATGTAGCACGTTAAATTTTCACTTAATGTCCAGGACATTCAGACCACATTCGGGTCTATAAAAAATTAGCCAAGATTCAGTAACCAGATCGATTTGATCACCTAATGAATACGATAGAATTTGGTTTAATTCGACCGCCAAAAATTGAGCGAAAGATGAAGTCCAAGATTCTGAATAAGATGGTGAGAATGAAAGCTGAACTTCTCAAATATATGATATAAAACATATTATTGGTTATATCCACAGTGTATCACATGATTGAATAAGCCTTTTTCATATATATAGGGCTACTCCATCCATGAAGTGTTGTTTTCCTTAGTTTGAAAGAGTTCTGATCATCCCCACTGTTTACAGAAGATCCTCATTCATACTACAGATGCTGTTAAGATTGTATTAGGGATTCCCCAGGTGGCTAAAATCGATTACCTGTTTTGATATTGAGATTCCAACTTAATTGCTGATTGGTTGAACACTAATTTACTGTGAACAATCCGTGTGTGCAAGCCAGTTTAGTAATCCAATTCTGTCACAACTCAATTACTTCTATCTGGGTCGAAATAAAAGTTGTCAGAAGTAAACCTATACTTGAGGGTTGTGTGTACCGGCTCCCTTCATCCAGCAGGGAATATGACAATATGCTCAGCAATATCTTTAATGTTACAGCCAATCTTTTTTTCAGTTATAAAATTATCGGAGGCGATTTCAACTTGCCAGAAGTATAATGTCTTCACTCCGAGGACCCCAAAGGTATGATAATCTCATAAATTCCATCGTCACAGGAGGGTGGACACAACACATAAATTCATCCACTAGATCCGCAAATATCCTAGACCTTATTTTCACGAACAACATGACGCCATCTACAGAACATGTGGGACAGGAATTTCCAGGTACTGACCATAGAATAGTGGTTTGTTCTTTCGACATCTTTCCTGAAACAAAACGCAGAGATGAAGCTGGCCAGATACCTATGAGATTGTACACACATGCTGACTGGGACTTGTATCAGCACCTAATTAGATGTTCTAACTGGGACTCGTACTTTTCGAACCAGTCCTTAGATGCAATTCTTAACAACTTCTATCACAATATTAACTCAATTCACGACGTCATTGCACCCGAGAAGATTCTTAACTTCAGATTCCCCCAAAGTGATTATATTCCGACATCGTATAGAAGAAGTCTACGAAAGCACTCAATAAAATACTACAGATATCATGACTTATCGCCATTAATTGCCATAACGTCCCTTCTCAGTAGAATTGAAGAGTTGAGAAATATAGGCCTCAGAAACAAAGAAATGCAGGCCATTCATGCACCGCATAACTCAGGAGAAATAGCCAAACTTTTTAAAAGTAGGTTGATGAACTCCAAAACACCCTACCCGAAAATAATATACTTAGACGGCATTGCTTACGAAAATAATGAGGCGATATGTGAACTGTTTAGCAAGCACTTCGCCAGATTATACACCTTAGAGAACGATGAGGTCGTGGACTTCCCACGTGAAACAGACGAATGTTTAAGTGACATAATTTTCACCACACATGAGATCGATAAAGCTGTCGCAAGTCTTAAGCTTAGTAACACTACTGGCCCAGACGGCATATCTTCCGTTCTGCTGAAAAAAGGTGGTAATGACATGAGTTTACTCTTACTCAAGTTATACTCAATTTCATTAGGCGATGGGACATACCCTAACTGCTGGAAGAAGTCTTATATTGTACCTATCCACAAATACGGGCCTATAGCTGATATCAACAACTACCGCCCCATCAACATCACGTCTGTAGTTTCACGTGTAATGGAAAAGATAGTTAAGACTCAAATCATTCAGTACTTGCTGTCAAATGACCTACTATCCCCATCCCAATACGGTTTCTTAAGTAGAAGGTCGTGCATTACTTGCCACTTAGATTATTTTGACTACATTACACAAAGCATTGATAATGGGCGTTCGGTAACAACATTGTTTCTTGACGTTAGCAAGGCCTTCGATAAAGTCCCACATATCAGACTCCTAACAAAACTCCAATCCTACGGAATAACCGGAAAGCTTCACAAATGGATAAGTTCTTTTCTCACAGAAAGACAGCAATTAGTCAAAATCAACCACCAGTTGTCTTCCTCAAAGCCGATAACCAGTGGTGTAATACAAGGTAGTGTTCTTAGCCCTATTCTGTTCCTCTTATTTATAAATGACATAGTCTCTGTAATCAAGTATGGCAAGCCATACCATTTTGCAGATGATCTCAAGATAGTATATGATTATGGGTACGGTGATATGAGCGTCGAAAGCAAGATCCAACAAGACTTAAACGATCTAGGCGATTGGAGCGAAAAGTGGCAAACAATACAAAGTTCGCCCTGTAAACTCCACATATTCTGAGACCGAAACTGCTGTCACTAGTTTCAGAGTGGGCACAAGTACATGCCTTTGGATAAATGTTTAACCTTGTTACTTAGCGGAATTCTGCAAGGTTTAGAAGTTGGCAAGTCCGCTGATTGGGTAGACGCCTCATAATCCACTTTAGCGGCATCACGAAACATATGCAATTATATTTTTTCTGTTTTCTCTCTAAGTAGTTCCTTAGGTCGGGAAAGTGCTCCCAAATATTCTGAACTAGTTATCCGCTTTTTAAAATTTATAATCTCTTTTAGTAACTGATTCACATGTATCAGTTTGGCTCCATTTCATTGGAAGAATATAAGACAGTAAAAGCCATCATAACGCGGTACGTTCGAATATGGTGAGACTTTTGCACGTGTTTTCGCTGATATTCATTTTTCTGTTCTGCTATATTATCACCAATAATAATGGGCAAAAGCTATACAAAGCATGTTCCTAGAAACACTAGTAATTTAGAAAATAGCTTAAGCTTATCAAGTAACGCATTAACACCCCTTCAATCAACTGCAGTTAGTACTAACTGCTTCCATCAGCATATATCTATGGCTTCTAGGATCACCTCGTAGGTTCTCCGTCCAGTGCAGGTATCCCAGTTCACTCCAGGGAGGTTGAAATCGCCACAAATTAGTTTGTAGTCGAATTCCAGCTTAGGTAAAACCTCTAGTATTTCTCCGATAACCGTATCAGTCGTTATAGGGCTGTTAGGGGCTCTGTATATACATCCCACAAGAATGTTATTTTCATTCGTGTGGATGCTTATCCACTTGGATTCTGGGAGTTTGTCGATAGTTAGGTTTGTAAAGGTATTGGACTTAGTGGATTCAGAGGCATATATTAGACAGCCGCCTCCTCTCTTGTCCACTCTGTCATTCCTGTGGATGTTATAGTTATCAATTATCAGCTTTGTGTCAGGTATATCAGTAGTAAGCCAAGTTTCAGTTACCAGAATCAGTGTTGGCCGCTCCATGTATGCCAAGCTGCGAAGGGAAGTTATTTTGTTAAGGAGAGATCGAGCATTTAAAAGCATAATTTTCAGAAAACCAGGGTTGTTGGGATAGTTAGTAGGTTTTCTTGTCACTATCCCTAACTCCTGGTTGCCTGTGTTATGTTCGGAGGGATCCTCATATGAGACATTGTCAGCGTGTTTACTATTCCCTGGACAAATTGTGCTGCGAGGGGGGCTATTGTTTGCTGCAACCGAAAACAATCATGTTGCATATAATGGTTTCTGGCCTCATTACGTGGGTATCTAGGATCATTTCTCTGCATAAAATAGTCTGTTTCACTGTTCACATTGTAATTTACAGGGCCATAGTACCCTGTTTTTAGGTTGTTCTGAGGATAGTGCGTGCTAGGTTTTACGTAGTTGTACATTTGCTGACTCATCTCGTGAGTGTACCTAGAAGGACCAGAGGCCAATCTATACCCGTTATGCCGAGGGTTCGAGTATGCATTTCCGTTGATATGGTACCTAGTGGTGTCCCGTCTAGTAGCCCATGTGTTTTCATTATTGACTATGGGTCCCGTCCTCAGGTTATATGTGCCTACAGGCATATTACAACCTCGGCTATTGCGGAAATCGTGGGTATCACTCTGCTGTTTGATCAGCTCGGTGCCCCTTGCATATCTGCTGGCGTGTGGTTTTGTGTGGGTAGAGCTATTTTTGCCGTTAGTTCTCACCTTGTGCAGTTTGTCGTCCTCAATTCGTCTACTACTCTTAGTTCGACGAGGAGCTCTTCCATTCACGTCTTCCGTCTCCTTTATGGGACCTGCCGCAATGCGGGCATAGTTATTTTTTAGGCTTATATGCTGCTTGTTGGGCTTGTCACAAGGGAGGTATATGGACGCATGAGGAGAAACCTTGGTTTTAGGGGACTTCTTTACGGCTTTTACAGTGGGATTATCTTGTTTGGCCCTGGGTGCAGTGTGATCTGCCGATATTTGCAGGTTATCGGTAGTAGGAGCATCTACATCTACTTCATGGGTGT